GTGTGCTTTATTCTATAAGAATGATTTTAAATTATTTAAATTTGAGAAAAAAATTAAATTATAGTGAAATTGAAGTGAAATTATTAAGAACGATTTGAAATTGTTATGGATGTATTTAATCTACTTTATTTAAACATAGAAAATAAATTAAACTTGAACAACGGAATTAGACGAATTCAAATTAATCTTTATATGACAATATGACATAAATAGTTTATTGTTATCTTAATTTTTTCGTAGGTGTTAGTAAATATTGTATTTGAATTAATCGAATCATAAAATATTTTCATTGTTTTAATAATTGGACAAATGATTTATTGTTTTTTGGAGTCTGCACTGTAGTGTTATAAGGTTTTTTGTTAACCTATTTTAGACGCTTCATCATCAAAATGTATAATATACACAATCTTATTTTTTATACATTTCATTTTCTTTCTATTGTGAATATGAACTATGCGATAAAATACTTAAGTAAATTACTTGCCTTCTTTTTTCATAAATTGTCACTGTAAGACCATGATTATGTTACTAAATACATATTTAATTTCCAGTTCACAGTATATTTATTTTAAATTGAATTACTGATATATTTTTTGTTGTTTATTTATTGTGTATCCAATTCTAATGTCTTATACCCGTTACTCCACAATTTGTGTGTACTGGAATATTTATAGAGATTTCAACTGCAATGGTTAAGATTGCTAACGTATAGTTAAAAATAAAAAGCAAATACTGTAAATCAAAGCATTCTCAAAATTGTTTGGATGTTAATTTAGTGTACATTTTTTTTATTTAAAGAATAAAATGTAAGCGTGAGTCTGGGGTTTTCATTTGTACTTTGTAAACAATAAAAAAAATTTTCAAAATATTTTCATTTAAGAACTAAAATTCGCAAAACGAGTTATTGTAAAATTGGATTATTTTCTAATTATTACCTCTATTATAATATTTAGGGGATTTGAAGCGATAATTTGTTGTACCTATCACAAGTGACATTCCAGTAACTGAGACATATTTAATTTCTAACGTATGAATTAATGATGTGAAAAGGATTTTGAAAATCTATTATAACTCATAATAAAGTTTAATCTAGGTCAACTTTGCACCATATTTTTTTTTTATCAGGTTTTGAAAAGTCGACTATTTTTAAATGTAGTTTATTGTGATACAATTATCGGAAAGCATATGTCAATAATTAGACTTAATGTCTTGAAATTTATGACAGAGAAATATGATGATTATATTTATAAAATCTTTATCCTATCAAAAAATCGATAATTTTTTGGTAATAAAATATGTTATAGTTAATGTTACAAATGTGATATACAAAGATGACAAATCACTCTTTCCAATAATCTTATTGAAAAAAATTATTTATATTTTGGCCACCTGTAAAAATTATGATTGCCTTACAAACGAAACAAAATATATCGACTACCTTTATTGTTTAAATACATGATAAAAGTAAAGTTAAATACAATTCATGTTTTCTTAGTTCTTACACCAAAAATATACTATGATTATAATCAAATAGGTAACTATTATTATGAACACCTTTTGAAAGCTCTTGAAGCCTAACCTTTTGAAGCTCATACGCATCTTTTATGCAAAACAACTAAATAGTGAAAATTCTTCACACATATACACACGCATTGTCATATAATACACTATATCAAGGTTTTACTTTAAGGTGTTACGTTATTCTAACAAAAATCAGTTAATTGATTCTATCTCAAGTGTTCAATAGAACACTCGTATATTATTTCGATTCATAATAATATGAGTTTTGTTAAACATTTTTTTGTATTCTAGAAATATTTAAAAATCTACAGTCATCATTACTCTTTATGTCGATAAAATCAGTAATATATTTGTTAAATTATTACTTTTTTTTTACGTTTGGAATTAATTTCCTTAACCAAGTACTTGTCAAAATAATGTATCATCAACTCGTATTTATATACTCAAATAGAACATTTCAGTCATTGATGAAGGACACACTATTTGGATGAACAAAATACATCTGAAATTTTATCATAATATTTTAATGAAGTTAGAAACATATATGTATTTCCTGATACAGTATTCATTTCAGCTTTTATGTGGCTGTTAATTAAAATCAATATATTGTATATATTTTAATGAAACAGTTACACGATGTGCATATTTTATTCAAAAATGAAACACTATTAAGGAGTATTGTAACTATCGAATATTTTTACCTTCGAGTTATTTTTACGAATCATAATTGTGATGAACATACATACTTTAAATTAGTATAAAATAATAAAAAGAAAACATTGGCTTTTTTTTTTAATAGGTAATTATTGAAAACTTTAAAAAAAGTAATATTTATTGTACATTAAATTAATACCTGTAGAATTTTAACATTAATTGTCTCTAAAGATAATTTGTGCTGTTGTAAATTTGTACAATTAATATGTACATAAAAAAATAATGATTACAATAACAGCCATTAAATAAATAACATAAATTAAGCATGATGTAGTAGGATAACACTCAATGGAGTTACTTACTTTTGATATAAAAACACTTTTATTTGTAGCTACACTCTTAACATAATTTTTTTTAGTGTTCTTTGTGAGTTGTCTTAAATATGATTTAAAGATATGTGGCTTATGTTATGGATGGTGTAGAAACTGTATTATAGAGTTTTTGATATGGACATCTGGTTAATATTTGTGCCTAATTAATTCAAGTATTTAATTTATTTCACTATTAATGTTTACTTGACCATATTTAAGATTGAGGTGTATTGGTAAATATAAAATGTAACGTTAAAAATTAACTGCAACATTTAAAAATGGAATATTAAATTACCGAAAAATATAATTTAATAATTTATAATCTCTCAGTATCTAATAGTTAAATTTCTCAGTTATCGAGTAATTATTATTCAATATACGAGTATTTATTATTAATAATGTATCTTTTATATATTTCGATTTGTACCTAACAAATATTGATCTAGGTATAGTTGATTTTAATTTTCTTGGAAAGTTGGGTAGTGTGCAATATATTACAACTGTCAAGAATTTTATAAAATTACTGTCGTTGACCCCAAAATGAAATGTCTGTAAATTCTTGTTTTTCCTTTTTCGCTATAGGTACATTATAAGAATCTTGCGACATAAAAAAATAAAACCATGTATACCGAATACACAATTATCAGGTATTGATGATATTGTTAATCACATGGTAGTTATGCACAAATTGGTATACGAAGAATGTAGTTTATTTATAAGTGATGATTTTAAAGTATTTGTGAAAAAATGTCACTGTTTTACAATTTTTTTTTTTCATTTAAGTACTTCTTTGCATATTTATTCTTATTTTGTCCTATTATCTGTCACATTTCTATTATTTTAAATTGTTTTTTCACTTATATAATTGTTATTTATTGAAAAGAATTATTTTAAAATATATTAAAATTTTAAGATATTTGTTTAATATTGTAACTTATATAAAAATATATTTATGTATAACATAATTATTTCTATTATAAAACGATTATAGCTTATAAAGTTAAGGTGACTAAAGTCTATACAAATTGTTATAAAATTATAGTTTGTTTTTAGTTGAATTCGATTCCACTTAAACCAAGCAATTATATAGTTACAAAATTAAATTGTCTTGTAATTTTTTGAAATTCAGTTTCAGAATAAAAATGATTGGAACTATACAGCTAATAGCTTAAGATTGCTATGTTTTTCGAGATGCTTGTTTATTATATTTTTAAAATGTTTTTGCCAAAAATTTTATTATCACACATTTTACTTTAAAATTCCATATATGTTTTGAATGATTAACATATTAATTATACTGATTAATATATTTTATTTTTTATGAATATTTATTATACCTTCTTCTGTAAGACAATTTTATACGTATCAATCACTAAAGTTTATTTCGTTGTTCATCATTTTCAACAGTAGTTAGGAATTATTCCTCAACCTTTATTTACTTACTAATTATACTTATCTTGTTATCAAACCATTAAGAACTAAGTTATACAATTTAGATAGTTTTGAATGTAAAAAAAAAGATAACTTACAAGAAAAATAAATGTTTTCTTTTAATAAAAAATAAAGACAACTGCAAATATATTATTAAAATGTGTATGTATTCGCGTTGCACATTTAATATCTTGTGCATTTTGATATTGTTCTGAGATATTAAAGCATGGATTTAGCATAGAGTGGGAAGTGATGCAATTGGTAATGGCGTTTTAACTTAAAACAGTAGTCAGCAAAAATAGAATATCGTAAAAATTCGCTCACAGTTCAAACCGAAAACGGATAGTCCCCTCTACCCCGTACGATGCAAATCTTGAACCAAGGTCGATGTTCACTGCCAAACTATAACAGACCGTATACTTCTCTTGAGTATTCTACTGCCTATATTTCTATTGTTTCTGTTTATCAAAAATTTTTTTCTTTGATTATGTGTTGGCAGTGTACATGTACTTATTATTTACAATTATGTATCTTAACAAATTCTAGGAAGCAATTTTATGAAATACTTTTTCATTTACATAATTAAAAAAACCTTATAAATTGTTTCCAATGAGCTCATTCACCTTGATTAATATTTTTTGAAATAAAAATATGAAAATTGCTTTTCAAAAAGTTGATATTTTTCAAATATTATATTATTAAACCTGTGTTTTGTGTGTGTTTGAAATTCTGATACATTATTTGTTGGATTGCAAACAATTCAGTATACCACGGTTTTAAAGGAATCCCTAAAGTGTCTTGTAATTGTTTAGCATATTTTACTCTGTTTATATATTCTTAAATACAAATTACCTCAAAAGCAATGTTGAATTAGATTTATGCGTTAATATAGTTGATAAAGAAATACTTAAATAAAGTGACAACAGCTTCATCATTACATCTTATATTTAAAATTAAATACGTATTCAATTGATGTATTGCAATTTATCTTTCATGTATTAAAAATTATATTTTATTATTTAGTTCTAGTAGACAAATGAGAAATCAAGCTGAAAAACTACGCCGAAGCAAGTTGAATACGTGCATCAACGAACTTTCGCAACTTGTGCCATTGATATCAAATTCCCCTAAAAAAATAGAAAAAACCAGTGTTCTCAGGTTAAGCGCTGCATACCTTCGACTGAGTAGGCGTAAGTTTGCCGATTATTTTACCTTTTTATTAAGTTAGGTTACTAATTAGATATTATTTAACAATTTTCAGTATTAGCTGGATTCAAAAAACAGCGTGAAGAGTTGCCAGCATACGTAAGGGAGATGAATTTATCTGATCTCATATTAGGCGTATGTATTCATATTAATAATATTATTAGTTTATTATCGAAATAAGATTTTTTTTTTAATATTTAAGAATATTGAATTACGCGTCAGAATCGTAATATCATTATATTTTCTTAAGTGGAATGGTATCTATCTTAGGAATAATATGTTAATTTAACCGTATGGTCAAAAATTATGTTGATCTCTCTCCAAAACTTCAAATGGACTGTGTAGGTATATTTCTTGAGTATACATGGAACCAGGACAATTCTTAACATGATATTTATTTGTCAATACTAATAATTAAATAAAATTGTGTATTTTATTATCTGTTTTTACATTTAATTAATTAATGTATTTTGGTTTAATTATTAATTAATTAATCAATAAATTCGTGTTATCCATCATTGATTTTTTAGTCAAGAATTAATATTATCTTTTGAAAATTTGTTAATATAATTTTATATTATTATCTTGTACAGTGCCTGTATATTTTTATCTTAAAAACTACTGTTTACCATTTCACAGTTGTACGTACGTACGTACGTACAACACACATGTAGATAATGCATCTATGATAGTATCTTATATACTAGTTAAAAAGGTAAAATCTTAAGAAAGACAATCTAGGATATTCGTCCTTTATCTCAAACAACGTCTAATACTTGAAAAATAATTACTCTATGCTCTGTATTCCATAATTTTTAATGTATATTTAACGCAAAATAAATGTTCCTATATCAGTGAAATATGATTTAAAATTATTGTAAGCGGTAAATAGTTGTATAGACTGAAAAAAGATCTATTCATTATATTTAATTATATGTCCACTATTCATGTATATATTGTGTAGGCTTAGTTGAACTGTTTTTCATATATATATATTTATACTTAAAGTGACGTAAAAATTTCTTATGTTTTAAAATAAATGTATGGTTTTAAAATGTATAAAAAAAATTTTACGTAATGAAATAAAAAATAATAAATCTTCAAGATTCATTCAAATTATTACTAGTATCCAATCTAAAAATATTATATTGCGCTTTTGGTTTTTGCTTTTTACGTGATTTATTTATTTACATAGTTTTTCACAAATTATTTTTAGGATAAAGATATATTCCTTATGGTTTCATCTGCTGGAAAAATAGTGTTTGTGTCACACACAGTGGAAAACATATTAGGCCATCATCAGGTAAGTTATTTACGCACCATTAATAAGGCATTCATTTTAAAATATTAATTTCTAAATCTCTTAAGCTTAAATCATTTTGTTTGAAAACTAATCATAATCATGTGTTGAACTCTTATTATTGCGTAAAACTACGTATATCACGAATTGTTAAAAATATATTAAATTAAAATTAATTGATACATGTTGTAAATAAACTTATATTATTTTTATGAACTGCAATTTTAACAGACAAATATAAAAATGAGCATTAAGATTTTTACGGTGTTCGATTAATATTAGGTATTTTATTAATATATGTAATATTTGGCTTATAAAATCACATCAAATTTATTCATTCTGAGTTCAACATTTTTTTAAAAATTGTAAAGTTGCCAAAAAAAAAAAAAAAAAGAAAACATAAAAAAAAATATATACAATTTTATGTAGAATTAAGCTTTATAATTTTTGTTTTTTGTTATACTAGGTATGTATTATTTGATATTTATTAAATATATAATTATTCATCTACTGAGTTTTTTCGTTATTTTTTCTTATAACGTAAACAAATTTGTAACTTCCATAAATAATGTAATCTGAGCAGTGTAATGTATAAATAATTATTTACGTTCTGTACCGAACATAGAAAATCAATTAATTCGTATATGAATTTCATTAGGATAAAAATATTGAATTTGGTAAATAATTAAAATTGTAATTATTTAATTTATTTTTATTATATGTATGTACTTGTATTTAAATGTAGGCTATTATTTTTATAAAATATTCGTAATGATGTATTTTCAATGTACCAGATTACATTTAAAAAAAAAAAAATCCCAAAATATTGCCAAAAATAGTCTGCAGTAGTTATTAGAAAATACAAAATATATTGTATTTTTTTAATATTTTTATTAAATTATTTTGTTATACTACTTAACTTCTGTATAAATTCTATTAATAATTGTGTACATATTATGTATAATTTAATAATATTTTCTTGAAAAGGGATAGCTAAAATATTGTAGTGTACAGTAGCAAAATTGTATGATAAGTACTCTAGACCAGAGGTTCCCAAATTTCTTATAGTACGACCCATTTTGGAAATTATTTATGTTCCAAAATAATATCATTGACCTTTTTTTTGCTGTTTTCATAATTTTAAATTGAAAAAAAGTATTATATTTATAAAAATAAGTTTATACTATGTAATTTAATTAGCAAGTATATAATTTTAATGTGAAGGATGTAATTGTTTCCTATTTTTCATAACTGGATTAATATCCACTTTTTTATTTTGATTGCAAAGAACTTGTTGTAAGCTCATCATCAATTCATTTTCTTTTTTAACCGCTGACTCAGATATTATCTCTGTTTCTTCAGTTTTCGCAGAACTTTAAGTCATTGACTTCTTATTTAACCATTTTTCCGTAATAACTGTACAAAAGCTCAAAAAAAATACCAATTTATTGGTGATTTGAGAAATAGTAAAATTTAAACTGCGTGCATGTATCGTATTTAATGTACCGTTTGTTACTGAAAATAATCAATTTATTTGAACGTCATATAGGTAATAATTTGTTTCAAATATAATGCTATATTTTCAATATAATATTAATATAACCGATTGCGTTGTGTTGACACAGTCGAGCATAGACATATAAAGAAATATTAAATATTATGTCTATTGGTCGCAATAAATTTGCAGTTATCACAAACGTAAATAACAGTTAATAATAAAACTAACTAAATAATTAAACATCAACCATAAGTAATAGAAACACATGAAAAACATAACGTGACCCACTAAAAATATAATCGCGACCCACAGTTTCGGAACCTCTGCTCTAGACCTTATATAGTTATCCATGTTTTGTATTAAATTTATTCCAATTTTACCAAAAAAATTCAATATGATTCTCATTACATATATCTATATTTTTATCATTCAAAATCGTTGAGTTATTCTTTGTTAAGATTATATTGTATACAATATAGATATTTCATACTATAGCAAAAAGTCTTAAATCTTTTTCGATAAATAGGATAAATTGTCAAAAAACTAAAAATATCGTTATTAAAATGAGATACTTGAAAGGGAGCTGTTATTTCTTTCGTAATTAATTTATAGAAACTTTCAGCTAAGTGACTCGTAACATTAGTGTTCATAATCTATTTTTCTTTTAAAAACTGAAATCCGTTTTTCTTATTTATAATATGTATAATTTTTTCGATTTTAAATGGTGATATTCATTATTTAAATCCAACGTATGTATCACATTCTGTACACTATTCTAGTGTTGCTATGATTGAGAAATACTTATTTTATATTGTTGTGCGCATTAAATCAATTTGGATTTGTATTAGCAATAAGGGGTAAACCCTTCGCCAGATCATTAAATGTCCACGTTCAATTATCTGCACACATGTATTAGTAACAATTGCATTTACTCTCCTTTTAACTACAAATCGCATACGTGAATTTTCATAGCACAAGCATTCATCATTAATGTATTTCATTATTAATAGAATTATCAATTACTTATTACCACAACCAACAAAAATGGTCTCGAGATCGATTTGTTGTAAAAATGTTATTTTAATAATAGAAGAATCAATAAAATACATCCATTAATATTTTCTCGGAAAGAAGTTGTTTGAGAAAAAAAATACTTGAGAAATATTTAAATAACTATTTACGAAATTATATTACAATAATTGTTTAATGACTTCTGTTAGTATACCTAAATGTACTTGTAGTAATTTATTATTGTCAACAAAATTGATACTAACTATTTTTATTTTTATTGCTATAAACTAGTTTAACTTGATTTTAAAAGTTTTCTCAATATTTATTAAAGTATTCAAATACGTTTACTTGATTATGTAACATGATAGTAATAATATGTTGGTTGTTTTCGTAATGAACACTGCAGTTGTCAATAATCCAAGAATTTTTATCTCGACCATTCGTAGTCTACTAAACCTCCGTTTTTCGTAATTATAATTTGAATGCATTTAAATGCATTACGTATAGGCTACTATTTCTGTATCGATATACTATTACGCGTCAAATATGCCGTTTCATTATTTTACAGTTCATACTAATACCTTTTTTACCTTGATATCATCATAGATGCGTGCGATGCATTATTACAGTATTGATTCGCCTCCCACCTCTCACCGTAGTCATATGCACTGACCAAGGACATCATTCTTTTTATCGTTGTTCAGACGATAAAAATTTATTATTATACGTACAAATTTGGTTACCTGCACTGCATTCAATTTAAAATGTGTTTTAATTTTTTTCGCATCCTTGGAAATTTATTTGAATTTCGACGTCAACACATAGAATTTTTCCAGTGTACAGTGTGTTCGTTTATGTAAATTAACTACAGAATTTAGGCCCATTTGGCCTTCAATGCACTTACATTTTAATATGAAATAGTAATTATTGGTTTTGATGCAATCAGGCACGTAGCTATAAAATTTGTATTATAGGGGGGGGGGGGCAACAATTTTGGACTGTTGTTGAACCAGTAAAAAGACACTATTTGACTCTAGTTACAATTTAATTTTATGTCTACATGAATAGATCCTATAATTAACTTTAAGATAACGTGTTTTACAAATGTAAAATTTAATAAAATAATAATATGCTATATAATAATCATAATAAATTGTATTATCAATAAGTTATCATAATTGTGTAGTATTCAATGTGTATAAACCAAGGGCGACTCAATTTTTTTCTTTAATTCGGGCCCAAAATTTACAAATAAAATTTTTGATAATATTTAAATCAGATGAATCCTTAATATTTGAACACCTATCTATGTTTTGAAAGTTTCACTTTTATTTTATTTGATTTTTCACTAAGTATGGACCAGGGCTTAAATCAAAATAATATATATATATATTGTTTACCGCTATGGGACTTTTAAACGTTATGAGCAATTGAGCGTTTTGCGTTATTTAAATTAGTGTGGAATTTGAAACGTTTTCAAATGTAGTATTTAGCAATCAATACTATGTAAAATAACAATATATATTTTAAATATTATATTATATATATATATATATATATATATATATATTACCTTTTACCCGTGGTTTATTGGTAAATATATTTGTGAGTATACGCACTAAAAAAATATGGATAGTAATCCTAAAATAAATTTTCTTGCTTCGCTCGACAATTGTTTTCTCTCGATATGTTCGAAAAAATGTAATTAATCCTTTGTAACTACACGTTTATAACTTCTATTAAGACTATAAAATATAACACCACAAGATATACATTTGCAGCGCATTATAAATTGCATGATGCAGATTTAAGAACTATGGGGTGAATGTCCACACTCTACTATTTTATTCAATGTTATTCATTACAGTTAACAAAATAAATTTAACACACTGTACACTGTAATTTTCAACAGATAAATATTTCAATCAATTTCATAGTTCATAACAATTTTTTCTAATGAACTATTGAATTATTATTATTTTTTGTTTACGAGTTATTTTAGAAGGGTATATCCGTAAAATAATTTTACATTAGGTGTACTCTAAAAATCTAAAATCTGCTGATGGGTATAAGCCGTATATCAATACACCCCTGCCATTAACAATATTTTCTTTTTTAATTCTTATAACTCATAACTTATAAATAAAGCAATCATATTTGTTGTATAACAATAATAAAATGCACATACCACGTGAAATATGTATTTATTGTCAATTTATAACTTATGTATGGTGTATTACTAAAAATGTTTCATCGGTGTTCACCGAAATTATTTTTGATGAGGCAGGCCATACGGGTTTCGCGCCGACAATATCCGATGTGTTTTAAGAAAGCATATTTATACATTTTAATTGGTAATGCTTATTTATAAATTATTAGTTGATACATTTATTGCGATTTTAAACATCCTATTTATATATATTTTATTTAGATTATCCAGTAATTTAAGTCAATTTTATGAAAATAACGAGGTTTCAATCGTTAAATCATTTTAATCGTTTTCTGTTATGTTATTCCATACTAATTTTAATCGTTTTTCGTTTCTGTTTCATTATCTGTTATCGATTTCAATCGCTTTTTGAATTATACGTATACGTTATACTAATAACGGTATAAAAACGTTTTGGTGTCCTGATATGGAAACTAAGTATCGTTATAAAATGATCCACCTTAAAATAATTTGAAATGTTTATCTCACACACATCACATATGATCGATTCCTTAATACGGATTCAGCCCCCCCCCCCCCGGGCGATCGCCCCTTCGTTCCCCCTAAAATCGCCACTGGTATAAACCAGGGTTGAAACGTATAATACTGTACATTTGAAAACATATTATACTTACGTATAAAAATAAATTCCTTTATAAACAAAAATGCATTTATAATTTAAACATTTTAAATTTAAACACAATAAAACAAGGAAATATAAATTATAAACGAACAATTGTGCTATTAATCTATTGTTATTAATTATCGTTATTTTATCGCTGACGTATTTATAATAAATTCATTGTACTTGTGATATTTGTAATACTTTTTAAATTTTATATTATAAACGAAAAATTAAAGTAGATAAAATAGTTAAATATATTTTTAGGAGTGAATTTCAAAAACAAACCCTATTATACGTTTTGTACGTGTAACATATAAAACGCTTTATACACGTATATTACCAACCCTGGTATATTTAAACATAACATATTTTTGATATTTTTTTCGGGCTCATTTTTTCGGGGGGGGGGGGGGGGGGGGGGGGGGGGGCTCATCTTGGGTACAATTTTTAGTAAATATAATTCTGTGCGATTAATGGATATGAATCAAGATCAATTGACCATGTATTTTACATTATATTCAGGTTTATAATTCAATTGGTTTTTGACAATGTAATTAAGTTATCTTTTTCTTTTCTTTTTTAACCGTGTGTGTTGACATAAGTTGTCTTAAAAAAGAAAAATATCCTCATTATATTGTATCAGTATTTACAATTTACGTCTTACGTCTAACAATACAACTAATGAGGACAACAAAATCTGTGTTTATTTTTTAATTTGATTAAATACATTACAAATTGGAAACTGCCACCATACTAGTCGAAATGGCCAAATATTTATTCTCATCAATGGGAATGCAAGTCAATCCGTTAGAATCCCACGCAGTTAACATTGAAAAAGAAAATCTAACACCAAAATTAGTAACACTACTCGGTTCTTTCACAATTCCATCAATTGAAGACACAGACCGTATTAAATACTTGGGAATAAACTTTTAAAACGAAATCATTTTCGATCAATAACAATTCCTTATAAATCTAGAAAACAATTTCAAAAACCTAGTTACATCATCCCTTTTAAGAGGTGACTAAAAACTCAACAAATGAACCAATACGTCTACTCTAAACTGATTTGCCCATTATTAACAATACTAGCAGATCTTCTACTACAACCTCTTCTCTATTATGTATACATACGCATACGAAAAGTATCATAGAAATATGTGGATTACCAGCGGATATTCCCATTACAGTATTCTATTGTGAACGCAAATATCGTGCTTTAGGTATGCAATTTGTAGACATGAAGTTTGTAATGAGAATAATATAGTCGAAACCTTACCATACATTAAAGGTGCTTATCCTCAGACAAAGTTAATGTGCAACGCAGCACACCATCGCATACGCTCGGCACTAGCCAACCTATTCCGTAGTAAAAACTTTGAAGTCAATGAAGAAATCCACCGTCAGACAACAAATGATATATCATCTAAAACTGCCACATAAATATACTATTGTGGAAGATATGATGAAAGACAGAGGACTCATCCTAGACTCCACAATTTAATTGGAAATAAATTATCCCTTCCAGGACACAACAATGAACAATGAAAAAAGGGTGAATATCTGCCATGCATCTCGACACTTCGAATTCAATACAAGATCAACAGCTGAGAAGTTATAGGTCTATGGTTTGGTAATCGGGGTACTTCATGTCTCATGAAATATTTTTTCTGAACTCACTACAACTCACTACATAACTCGTTTTTAATACTATATAACATAACAAAGTTATACAATATAACAAAGATATGTTTATCAATGTCGAAAGACTCATTAAATATTTTAAAATATCACTTATCTTCATAAAGAATTATCTCGCTGATTATCATTTAAATTCTGTTTTATTTTTATATCGTTTATTGTGTAATTTTTATTTTATAATACAAATCATCTTGTGTATATTTTTTTACTCTATTCATCTTTCGTCATTCAATATTATTATATTTCTTGTTTTTAATTCTGTAATCATTTTACCGAACTATATATATTTATATTGATATTATATGCTGTATCTCGGCAACACGTACGATGGAAATTTCAGAGTTATGATGTATATCAGTGGTCTTAAACACGTCGCGCGCGGGTCCGTTCGATGTGGTCCACAATAAATATTTATTTTTTCAAAAATGTTGACACTCTAATACAAAATAAGAGATGTATCAAGTATCAAGTGTTGCTAGAAAATAAAAAGTTCATTTTTGTCATGATTATAATCAATAAAAGAAATACATTTTGTCTTGATTTATTTTGTTTATTTCAGATTTAATATTAAAATTAATAAAAAAAAAGGTGTTTTTTCCCTTGAGTTTGAAACTATTGATATATTCATGCATGATATGCTATTCCTATTGCATATTATTATTTGAATTGGAAAATTACCTTAATAAAAATTTTCTGAGTTACTAAAATTAGAAAAATTTGTTAAATAAGTAGAACATTGGTGATTTAGAATTCAAATGACAATTTATGCTTAACATTGGAAAACTATGATAGGCTTTATTGTCATAGAATTCTTGATAATGTGTTAAATATTGATTTTAAAATTTACTTTTATCATTATGTTAAAATTTTCAGGAAATTAATCGTTCACGTTTTATAAAATACTATTAAATTAGATACACCTGTAATTCAAAAAATTTAAATCGGTGATAGTATTTCCTTTTGTGGTTTTTAATTGAATTGAAAATTCATTTCAAGGAATTGCCAAAGAAAAAGTACGATTTGTTGTAGCATGCATAAAATTAAGAGGATGAATAGAATTTTGAGATAAATAAATTATAATAATAAATATTAATTATTATAAATAAATAATTCTTATTAATACTAGTTATTTGTCTATTCAACCCAGATTTTAATGTAGACTTAGGTTTAACAATCGAAGTTAAGTTATTGAATGTAGACAATTTGGGTTGTATATACCACATTAAAAACATTTATCATTAAATAAAACCATCCATTTATTCAAATTGTTATTTAACAAAAGTTGATTATATTATTGATACATTATTGATAAAATTAATTATATATGCTATTGTATATATATTAACTTTTTTCCTTAACTAAAATTGATCTTTTTAGTAACTATTGACCCAATATTTTATTGTTTTAATTGCAGACTGATCTCATGGGCCAGTCAATTTTTAAAATTGCTTGTCCAGAAGACTATGAACAGATAAGGGATAATTTAAAGTACCAAGAAAATACCTCATCTGAAGGCAAGTTTAATATTTTTCATTTTCATTCGCATTTATAGTATATAAAATTACTTTTATACTTCATAATAATTAGTGGCAACCGAATTGTGTTAAATTTATTAGCTGGATTATGTGTTTAGTTTGTCTGTTGTGTAAGGCATTGCTTGCTAACATTTTAGTTTTCAAATTTTGAAAAATTTAAATTTAAAATGTTTAACATTTTACAAATAAACTAATGTATACTAATAAATGTAAAAATTAAAAACAAAATGGTATAGTGAATTTAAATTGTAAAATATTACTTATAAGATATATTTGAAACATTTAAGATATTATATATATATTATATTTGTAAAAATAATCAAAAAATATTAACAGCAATTGTTGAATATTGTATATATTCACTAAATAAAAATAATTTTCATTAAATTTCTCCTAGAGTTATATATATTAATTAAAAGTCTCAAAAATAGTATTTTATTAACCATGATACTAGTTGAAAAATAATCTTACAATTAGATTATAGTATTGTATGTATACAATGTTAATTCTCTTAATAATATTGTAAAAATCGAATTGTAATAAAACTTAATTTAATATTTTAGATGGTCTTCAAAGCACAAAGCTAGAAGGTAGTGGTAATAAAATGCAACGTCGATCATTTTATATGCGTTTGATCAAAAAAACTGCATCTCGTACAGACCCTCCAGAGTATAAATTGGTACATGTTATGGGCACATTAATGCAAAATAATGGTACAAAAAGTAATATTTGAATGTATTTAAAAAATATATTTATTTTAAATGTTAACTTTTATAGATTCTTCACTCGGGGGAAATGATTTTGTACTGAATGCCATCATCAGACCATATAATGATTTTCGAGTCACTGAAATCTCATTATTAGAAGCTACCAAAGAAGAATACATTACTAGACATCAAATTGATGGTCGCATTATATATGTTGATCATAGGTAAGAACTTATGCAAATATATCATATACAATTGTTTTAATTTTTCTTGGGATTTAATCCTTGTACTAGACATTTAAACAATCATTTTATATAATATTAGGCAACCAACTTTAAAATTGTATATTCTTTATTTTATCAATTGAACTACAATATTTAAACAAAATATTTCGCCAAAAAAATTTTTTAAAAATTCTGTAGAAAAACTTATGCCCTATAATATAATGTTCTTTTATATTAGCATTGGTAGATTTTGACTGACTGTAGCCATTATTTAATTGCTATCATCTGAAAATTTGACAAATAATTTTATTATTTTAGTCTTGGCTATATATATATATATATATATAAGGCAAGAATTAAAAATGTACTTATGTCTATAATGAAAAAGGATTCCTACTACATAATATTGTGTTATGAATAACCTACTTTGCTTTTATTGCCATTTATATTCTACTTACAATCTACTTCTAAATACTAGTAATTTATATAAATTGAATACTCAGACTGTAATCTTTTATCTATTATATTTACATGATTATAATATATATTATGTATAATAATATATTTTAATATATTTATAGAATATCTATTGTATCTGGATTTATGCCTCAAGAAGTTTGTGGAAAATTAGCATTCATGTATATGCACAAAGATGATGTCCGTTGGGTGATGATTGCCTTGAGACAAAGTATGTTTTATTTATATAATAAACAATATCATACATTATCAATATAATTTTTCATCTATTTATTTTATATTTTTATATTTTCAGTGTATTATAAAGGTCAAAGTTTTGGTTCTAGTTGTTATAGATTATTGTCAAAAAATGGTGACTTTGTATACATGAAAACACATGGTTACTTGGAACTGAATATAAATGATGAAACAATTGCATCATTTATTTGTATTAATACTCGGGTGAGTACAGAGGAAGGAGAGAAAGAAATAATTAAAATGAGAGAAAGATTTACACCATTGATAAGTAAACCAGAACCTGGAATCGCTGCAATTACTAATAATCAATATGTAAGTTAATTAATAAATATTATAAGCCTGAGTGAGACCATTTTGTAATAATTTTTATTATAGATGGCCAAAGATTCAACTACATCATTAAAAAACGCTAGTACTGAAGATCCTTCAACATTAAATAAAGCTGTACAACAAATGTATACTAATATTCCAGCTCCTGCATTAGACAGTGTTAAAGAAAGTGCACAAAATCCTTTGCCAGACAGCCAATATATTAAGGTTGTACTTTTATCGAAATCCATGCCTCCAGTTCAAACTGATTCCAACACACCTAAAATTGATAAACGATCATCTATGTCACCTCAACCAAATATTAAGCCACTTATTCAAGATCGTCCTACTGTACTTCAAATCGCACCTCATGCTCCTCGATTACCAGTTGTTATAGATCAAAAATCTTCTGAAAAAACAATAGAGAAAGATACAGAATATTTCAAGCAAAGAGGTGGTGTATTAGTTAATAACAAACGACAAAATGAGTATCAGTTAATACCAGATCACTTACCTAAGACACCAAAAATAGAAACCCAAATTGATTCACCAACTTGTAGTCAGTATAGTCATCAAATGGATGGTTCTCAGTCCGACAACCAACTAAGCACTGATGGTTATGGTTCTTTGGAAGACTTTTCTAGCTTTCAAAGTACTCCTATCCAATTAGGTATGCACTGTATTGACGAGCAGGATACTGATTTAGGTAACCTCGATAACTTATTTAAAAAATAAATAGTAAATGTTATTCTAATATATTATTATTTTTATAGATTCTTTTAATGATGTAAATATTACCGGATTTGACAATTTTTCAGTAAGTTTATTGAATCATTTTTATAATGCAATTAGTTTTTATTCTGAATAAAGCAAAAATATAATAATTAAAAACAAATACTTTCTGGTATAGAATTGGATCAAAATACTCTTTATTATAATTTTGGAAATTGTTCCACAAAGGAACTAAATTGAAACAGATAAATTTACAAAGATATTTTTAAAAAACTTATATTTTCCTTTTCGAAGTTCAACATTTTATTCGAATTGTTGAGTAGTTCGAAAAAACGAGAGAGCAAAAAATAAATATTTGAATCACTGAGTTAAGAGAAAAATTTTATTTTTATTATTGTACATAATTATTAATTATTTCAGCAAATTAGGTGGTATAAATTATTTATTGTTTTTAAAATAAAATTGTTAACTATATAAAAATTATACTATGTAAATTAAATTATTATTATAAAAAATTATTATTTTTTGAAGAAATCTGTAATGGTTTTCTGCTTCATTTGATGCACTAATCACAGAACTTTACAACTGACCAAACGAAACTCAAATAAAACTAAATGTGACTGTAAATAATAAAATAAGATTAAAAAGTATTTATTGAATGTATGTTGAACAAATATTCTTTGTTACATAAATACAATGTACAGAAATAACTGAAATTTAATGATTTATTCTGTAATTATATTTTAATAAATCAATTTTGAAGCATACTTCTTATTTAAAATAATTTCTCTATTGCTTCTTAGTCTAGTCTTCTTACAATAAAAAGTATCCAATTTTTAATTTATTTAACTATGAAACATAATTGTTATACAATTAAAATTTGTTTTTATGTTCATTGAAACTTAAAATAAATTTGATGTTCATAGAAATTTATATATATTTTTAAAAAATTCAAAATCACAATTTTTTTATTTTACTATCGATATTAAGATAAGCCATAAAAGTAAATAAAAATTATATATCAACTTATACCTAATTAGTTATAAATATAAGATTATATTAAACTGATAACTTAAGTTTTGTTATATATATTTATTAAAGTATAAATAAAATTATGAAGTAAAAAAATAATTAAATTGAAAATAATGAAAAATAATTAATTTTTCAATTTGTATATATTTTGGATGGTTTTTATAATTTGATTCACTATTTAAAATTAATTAAAATTTATATAGATAAATATAAATTATATATATAAATTGTTTATCTTTATCATAACTGATACATTTTTTTTTAATTTCGAAATACTTGAATATGTTGTATTTTCTTCTTTTTCTTAGAAAACATTGGAAGACCAATCGGATTTGATTGATCCATCAATGGACCCTTTGTTTTTGACACCTGAGAGTTTTAATTCATTTGATAATGGTACGAATACATTTTTTTTTTTATACAATGTGCATAATTCTTATAAATATGCTTCTATTTGATTTTAGGTGTTTATATGGAAGGAAACTCAACTGATATCATTCCTGATCCTGTAAGTTTCGAGATTTTGTTATAATATAATATTTACAATTTAATTATCTAGTGTACACCATATATTATGACAAATAAATTTGTTTTTAATAATTAGATAATGCATGTACTACAACATGATGGATGTTCACAAAGCGAATTGCTTAAAAAAAATCAAATCACACTTAAAAGTAAGATGGACCAACAACATGGTCAGCTCAAAGAAATTCAAAAAGGATTAAATTCACTTTCTTCAAATGCTGATACTCATTACATTGCTAAAAATTTTACCAATTTAAAAGTATTTATTTTTTTCTGGTCTCATTACAACTTAACATGTTTTATATTTAGTTTTTACTTCATAATTTTTTTTTAGGCTGTGCATGAAAAACAAAATCAGTATCTCCGTACACTACAAGAAGTACATAAAAACATCGGTGTGTGACGATGAGTTTTTATATACTATAATTTATATAATCTTTAGCTTTATAACTTTGTGTAAGTATACAGTTTACACGAGTATAAATTATTTTTAACGTTTAGATTTTCTGTATTATTTTTTTTCGTACTGTGTAAATGTAATCACTAAATATTATAATTGAGATACAATGTGCTTACAGTGGTTTATTAATTTCTTTGAAATTTTAGAATTGATATTTATGTAGGATAACGTTTTCTTATCACCTTTTTCATATGAACTATTCATCTAAAATAATAAATGTCTTAAGTATTGATAATAATCTTAGTTTTATTAAATTCTTATTAACATTATTTTAATTCTAGGCATTTAATCAGGTGATAATTATTATAAAACTTATAATTTGGGTGCATATAAAATATCAAAGATGTGAAAATGATGAAATATATGAAAATAATCTGTATTCAAATTAAAATTTTCCATTTACTAATTATATATTATTGTTTGTTTTGAAAATGTTTGTAAAATTCAAATTTTGTGCTAGGGAGGGATGCTTAAACTATTTAAAAACATTTTCTGAAAATAAACCAAAAATTTAAAAGAGCCAAATTCACCTTCTTATTCTATTGGTGCATTTTCATTTATTATGTATTTTAGTTTGAAAATAGCTCAAATAATTCTATATTATCTTATATAAACTAAAGGGGTATGAATTTTATAATTGTCAATTCCAACCTTCCAATACAATACAGTCCTGTAAAATCTTAAACATGAACTTAACTATAGCAACTTTATCCTTAATAAATTAATATAATATTTAAAGTCATAAATTGTCACAAAGTAATTACGACTTATGATGGTAGAATATATAGCTTATATTTAGCTAAGTATATTTTATATATCCTCAAGGTTAATTCAGTTGTTAATTAAAATAAGCGATCTCCAAAAGCAATTTTTAAATATTAAGACTTAAGTTTTACTGATATTCATACATTTTTACAGTAACCATATACATGGTAATAACCAAAGCTTAATTTTAATTTTTTGACATTTTTATTTTTTCAGTTGTTAATGTTTTGATGTTCAAATGATACTCTTTTCTAGAGTAATGAAAATAATGTACGGTAAAATTTGAATGGTTTAATTTATTTTCATTAATGAGTACATTTACACATAAAATACAATTGCAAATTAACTTCTGTATTTGTTAATTTATATCTCTATATATTTTTTTACCAGACTTAAATTTGTTTAATGTCATATACTTATCTCCTAAGTTATCAATTTGTTTTAATTATTATTACTATAATTATTTTTTACTATTACCTAGTGTTCGTATAACATTTGTGTAGTTTTAAAGATTCTTTTTTTTTTTTACTTTAAATTTTGTTTCTTTTTTACAGCAGATGCTCAAAGAATTCAATAGTGACTGACTTGTGTTCATTTAATTATTTTCTTTTCTTTTTGTAATATTTTAGTAATATCAATTATATTTGAGTGTATATTTTTATTAACTTCTTAAAAAGTAATACATCTAAATCAAAATGTGTTTCTGAAGAATCATGCAGTTAACAGCCTGTGACATTTTATAATATAATATTTTTAATCTAATTATTTAGTTTTCTCAAGTTTCCAAATTATCAATATTAAATAATATTTAAATTTATATTACCATTATATCATCTTTTTTCATAAAATATATAATTTATTTAGTTTATAAACGCTTAAAATACATAATGTAACAGACTATTTTATAACCTAAATATTTTGATAATAATAATATATATTTAATATTCTATAAATTATTATAAATTTCCCCCTTTTATATTAAATATTTGAATACAATAATTCATCAATTAATAATTGATGTCCAATGATTTATATATTTTATAATTTTTTTTATTATTATTATTATAATTATTTGTTTATTATTATTATTATTATTTTTATGTAAAGACTGAAAAGCAAAACATTAAATGTCATAATATTTGTTTATGTGTCAAAATGTAATTTTTAAATGATACTGTTTTCTATATTGCTTCTATACATATTATGTTATGTCAAGATATTTAATATCAAATACATTCTATATATTATAATATGTATATTGATTGTTGCATTTGTTATTATTCATAACAAAAACTTTTTATTCTTTTTTCCTCTAAGTACTCATGCTATGTATTAGTATTTCTACTTCATAATTTCTTTTTACTTCCTTACAAATTTTTCTTTATGATTTTCTATTGAGATTTATAATAAATTGTATATGATTATTATTACGACTAATTTAAACTTCAAGTTTTGCACTGTATTATAATTTTGAAAAAAAAAAAAAAAACAAATACTATCGTTTTTATTAATTTAATGTCTTAGTGAACTTCTCACAAAATAATCTGGTTCACATAAACTTTATGAAGTAAGCAGAGCATATGCACACACACTCAAACGACAAACATTTACAAACAATTTTAAACTTTTCATTAAGTAACATAATCGTATCTCATTAAAACAAATTTATAATTATAAAAATAAATAAATATATATTTTTGTATATATTTGGTATTTGAACGGGTGGCAAATTGAAAGGGGTGGTTGGGTAAACTAATTCTATGAAGTAACAGTTTCAAATTCATTTGGCGCCACTGTATACGGCTATCCTCCTTCAATGATCTGCAATTTTCATTCCATAATACACCAGGAAAATGTATCATGTATATTTCAAATTGATTTTAACATTGTCATGAAAAAAAAACTATTAAAATCGTTAATATTATCAGTGCAAGAAAGTTTAACCACAAAACAGTTTTTGTCTTCAAGTATCTCTAAAAAGTGTACATTTTAAAAAGTTTTGTTGTCAAGTATTGTTGAACTATTGATATTTTCATCCGGTTTTGTTGATTTAAATTTTCGCTGAATTCTATACCGATTTTTGTAGTTAAAAATTGTGGCCATATTAAAATTTTTAACACTAGTAGATTTTACAGATCGCGGACGAATTTTGTATCTCGCCACAGTATACACTAAATGATAAACCGACGGGTAAAAATATACTTGCCCGTATAATACACACCTAAATCAAATAACATTAACGAGAACGCCGATCACATAGACATAAAATAAGCATTTTTATGTGCTTTTTATGCATATTTCTCAATTTTTGTTGGATTTTTAATATTTTCTAAAAAAAATTTTGGTTTCTTCTAATTCCTATGGTTTTATTATTTTATTTTCGTGTATAAAAAATATTAGTGAAATATAGTTTCAATACGCTTCATTTAATCAATAATCAATATGGTACAATATAACTAGAGCGCGAATTTGTATGAGCTTAAAATTATCGAATATGCCATATAATATGCAGTAAAAATCATGAAAATATGCAGTCAAAATTATGAAAATATGCAAAAAATATGCAAGAATTTTTTATTTATTTAAAATTTATAATTCAACTTATAAAATTTAATTACTTAAATACTTAATACAAAAAAATTTAGGGAATTTCCTGAACTTAATTTATTTTTAAAATTTTATTTATTATTAAAATAAATTATCACATGCATTTCATATTTATCTTCTGTGAAGCTATGTCGTTTATCGGTTAACATATTTTTAAAGACTGAAAACGAACCTTCGATGTAAACCGAAGTTATTGGGGCATATTTGAAGCAAGTGGTATGTCGATAATCGACTGACACAGCAAGAGCGATTAAGTTTACGTCGTTATCGATTATTTATTTTATAACTAAATATATATATATATATAAATTATTATTTAGTGACAATGAAATTTATTTTTAAATTTTCACTTCAATATGCAATAAATTTTGAATTTTGCCAAAATATGCAAAAAAAAATGTCATCATTAGCTTCGAATTATGATGATTCGTGGAGATAACTGACAAAAATCCAAAAATATTGAAAGGAAAAAAATATGCAATTGCATAGAAATCCGCGCTCTAGTTATAATTATCTGTGAGTGTAGTGTTATAATGTTCTATAAAAATGTATTCCAAAAACAACTTGTATTTAACTTGAATTAAAGGGGAAAATGACATGGTATAGTCAGTGCAGTTTGTAAGAGTTTATAAAAATTTGGAAAAATATTGTTCACATATAGGTATTATAGGTATTTTGTTACGCGTCCGTACCGTTGTAGCCACGTGACCATGTTGCAGTACAGCGTTATGTTGAATAACGCTTAATAATTAATAATATTTTATTTTAGCTAAAGTCTCAAAGGCCATACTACTAAATATAAACATTGGTACCTGTTCCTGCCCTCCGGTGCTTCTTCCCATATGATATCAGATTCTATCTTTTTAACGTATTTCTTTCCGTCCTAGTTCAGGTCTACCTTACGGTATTTTTCCTATCGAGTCTTCCTTAATCAACCACTTGGCTAACGTTCCCTGTTCGCGCCATGCATGTCATGACCTACTCGTCTTAGTCTTCGTTCAATGATCACCCTGACTATATTCGACTTCTGAAAAAGTCTTCGGAGTTCATAATTATGTAATCTTCTCCATTAATTCGTTTCACTGTCGAAGACTGGGCAGTACATTTTCCATAAAACTTTTTCTAAATTATATTTTTCAAATACTTTTAGTCACGATTTTTTTGTTTTTTTCAGTGCTCACGTTTTCGAAGCGTGTATAGGACAATTGGCCTTAGTAGTGTCGTATACATTTTTATTTTTAGGTTTTTGGATTAGGTCTTTGATTTAAAAACTTTTTCTTACCCATAATATTTTTTAAAAGCTTGTTATGCCCTTAATGGCACCCCGGTCTAAACATCGTTTTTCTTAGTCACAATCGATTCAAGATACTTAAATTGTAACACTCTTTTGAAATTGTATTCTTCTATTTCGATACATTGTTATTGTCTACAATTCTTATTTCCTCGACTAGCCACTAAGTACTCTGTTTTATTACCATTAACGGACATGCTCACTTTTTTACCGTATTTATTTGTGTATTTCCTAAACTTTTTATCATACCTAAATCTTCTCCAAGGAAAGCGATATCATCTGCATATGCTAACTGTTCTATTATAATCTATTACTTATCTAGATAATTTACAAAGTGTGTAAAAAATAATTAATAACTAAATAATAAATTTCATTTGTATTACTTTACTTGCAAAAGAATAGTTCTAAAATAATTTTACATAGCATGTATTATTATTTATGAATAATGACGATTAATTATGTATATATTATTAATTACTATGAATGGGAGATACGAATTATTTGGCCATAAGGCCAGATCTATTCCATACCGACCGTTTTTAAGGAGTTTTGTATAGGCAATGCTTTGACAATCTGTATAGTACGTGCGTGCGCGTCGTTTATGTGTGTGTGTAGTAAATGATCATAAGTGTGAGTGAATTTCCTGTACCGCGGCCCATTTATCGTTCTACCACCGATTATCGACGAGCAGCGTGTCGCGTCTGATATTTTTATTGTCCTTATCTACCAGCGCTTCAAAACTGAATTTGCTGGTCTATTATTTACTTATTCCACAATTACGCATTTTAGTTTGCATTTCAAACATTATTTACGATTACGACAAAAACTATAATTGCTAATAATAAATTCCGAGAAATTTTTGATCTTACTACGTATTCGTTTAAAATTGGATAAAAACAAATATTTAATAACTTATTCAATTTAATTATTCAAATTAACAAAAATTAATATTATCGAGAGAATCGTAACACACCAGGATGATCTGCAGATATGAGATCAACAACAAGCCTGAAAAATAATTTTAATATACAATTAATAGAATAACAAGTAAAACTTACAAAATCATGTTATAAGAAATATTAGAAAAATATTTGACAGAAATTGAAGAAAATCAAAGTCAAGTAGTGCCTAGGGAACATTATTGAAAATAATTAAAGTATTTGTTCATTGATATTAGATTATTTTTTTTTTTTTTTTTTTTTTAATAAAAACTTACAACCTAATATTACACTTCGGTATATTTGGTAAAATATAATGATGGAATAAAAAATATAATAAGATTATCATCATAGGATTATCAAATGTTGTCAATAAAAATACCTAAATATCAATTTCTATATTTTACATTAATCCTACCCTAAAAAATCAAAAGAGGAACAACTAACTTTTAATATTAACAAACGAGGAATAAAATAATAATAATAAGTAGGCTCAGCACTAATAAGCAATTAAAATATATACTAAAAAATACAATTAGTTCATATAGCAGATCAGTCATCTATAAAGTTCTTCAATAAAAATAAAAATAAAATTGTATTGATAATACTACAACTACTACATCAATTGACGCAATTTACTATTAGCACAAGTAACTCGATAAAAATGTAATGTCAATTCAATTGAAATTACCTAACTTAATTGTCATAATAAGAATCATAATCAATGAAAAATTAAAGTCTTAATTTAAAATATAAAACTAGCAATTAGCATACATTCTTATGACACGTTCAATAATTTTTTTTCATTCAATAAAGAATATGATGTTCAATAAAAGTTGAACACATAATTATTTTTAGAAGTAACGATTTAAAGCTTAAATTTATACAAATTCTTTACAGGCAAAACAATTTTTGCC